AAACTATCCCATCGGAGTTTTGTCTGTGTCCTGGTGCTTTTTCCCGGATGACCCAATTCATCTATCACTTTCCCTGACACCTCAAGATTTAAGCACATTCCTTGGGTGGGACAAGCCCAGTCTCCACAAGAGGGCAGGGGCAGGGGCTGATTATAGCTTCAAAACACATCCACAAAATGAACGCCCTGTTCCACGTGCCTAGACCATACATGGCATCCATTCCACTCTCCACTTTTTTTCACTGCACAAATGGGGTGTACTTGACTAGTCATTTTGGAAGAAGCAGTTGGTATCAGGTCCAAGCACAACATTCCCTTTTTCCATGTCATCATGCCTGGGAGAGGAGGCCTGACCTGGCTCAGCACTACCCATGACTCACTGGAAGTTACGGCAGCCAGCTTTCAGCAGTGACAAAGTTGATGCTGTGGCCTCCATCCACAGACACCATATCCTTTTGCAATTTGCAGATGTAAGGGTGAGAAAGGATGGATGGGGTATTAACAAACCATGCTTACTCTGAAAACACCCCAAAGGCATTTCAGGATCTGTAAGAAAAGTTGAGTTTTCTGCCAAAGCTTCTCACATAAATATAACACACACATACTGAGAACCAGGATAACTAAGCACAGAACCTAAATATCAGTATCTAAGTGAGGGTACACATTGTAATCCCAACATTAGAGAGGTGAAGACAGGTTAGGGTTAGTGTTAGTTTGAGGCCAGCCTCAGCTGTAGAATGAATTCAAGACCAGCCTGGGCTACATAGCAACATCTTGTTTCCAAAATAAAAGGGGGTAGGGGCTGGTAAGAATCTTTCCAGGGAACCAGCAGAAGCAGCAGAATTAGAGTGCTGAACATGCACCATCAGAGACCACAGGCTTATGAGAAGGCCATCAGACATGGAGAACAGCTTCCCAAATGCACGTGTTCACTGCCAACAACAGTGAAAAAATTGTAGAAATCCTTCAGCTCTGAGTTCTTAGCCTCCAAGGACAGATATTTAGTGACCAAACGAAACTTCAAGACACATATAATCCTCCTGTGTTTTAAGCAAAGACATTCAGAATATGATGATAGTTCAACAATCGACTGATGTCTTTCTGGTCACTTGGAGAAGTAATGAATATTTATAGCATCCACACTGGGAGACTGCTCAGCAGGTAAGAATGCTTGCTTTGTAAGCGTGACCTGAGATGAAATCTAACACCCATGTAAAGTCACACATGGCTGTGCACTCTGGTAATTCTCGTGCTTGGGGGTGGAGGAACCCAGGAGGATCTCTGTGGCTTACAGGCTGCCAGCCTTAAAAGTCCAGGTTCAATGAGAGACCCTGTCTCAAGGGAGTAAGGCGGAGAAGTGATAGAAGACACTTGATGTCCTCCTTTGGCCTCAGTGAAGGTACACACACCTGCATATACATATGTCTATAACCCACCACACACACACACACACACACACACACACACACACACGCATGCACATGCACACAAACACACAAAAAGCATTTACAATATCATGTTAACTTTCATCTGTTGCAAAGTAAAAACCTAGTTTAATTTAAAAAAATGAAACAATTCTGTTATCTTTCCATTTGAGTAAGTTTCCTAAATTGTAAGAAGTGGTATTTCTAGCCGGGCATGGTAGCACATGCCTTTAATCCCAGCATTTGGGAGGCAGAAGCAGGCGGATCTTGGTGAGTTCAAGGCCAGCCTGGTCTACATAGTAAGTTCCAGGACAGCTGGGGCTACAGGGAGACCCTGTCTCAAAAAGACCAAAAAAAAAAAAAAAAAAAGTGGTGTTTCTTGGCTTGGTCAATGTCTTGGGTTACCTGTTCCCTTCAGACAGCCCTGAACTCACCTGCTGAGCTGCCACAGTGGCCTCTGCCTTTTTAAACAATTCTCAGTAAAAAGGTTTTTTTCCAAATTACAGAAATGAATTTACTTTAGAAAACTAAACATATAGTAAATATAATTACACTTTTTGAACATGAGTATTAACATTTTGGAATATCTATTTGCAATATGTATTTGCCTGTATGTGTATGCATGTTTGTGTGTTTGTGTAGGCACATGTGTGGCACAGTCCACACCTGGTAGTCAGAGGAGAAACACGGCAGTCAATCCTTACTTTCCACTCTGTTTGACACATGGTGTTTCTTGTTGCTTGCTACTGCAAACACCAGACTAGCTGAATTCTGTCCCATCTCACTTTAAAAGCACGGGGATTACAGACCCATGCACTACAGTGCCTGCTTGTTTTTGGTACTAGGGATTCAAATTCAGGTCTTCACCTTTGCATGGCAAATGTTTTTACTCAGAGCCATCTCCCCAGCCCTATATATGTATTTTATTTAATTTTATTAATTTGTATTTTATGTGTTTGTTTTGCCTGCCTGTATATAAGTACATCACATGTACACAATGCCCACAATGCCCAGAAGAGGGCACCAGGGCCTCTGGAACTGGTATTACGGATGTTTGTTAGCCACGGTGTGAGTACTAGGAACCAAATCCTGGTCTTCTGCAAGAACAGCCAGCCAGTGCTCTTAACTGCTGAGCCTCTCCAGCCCTCTGCATGTGTGTGTGCGTGTGTGTGTGTGTGTGCGTGTGTGTTTTATACGTAAGATACTTGTTTCTTTGCTTTTTCAATATACTCTGGGCATTTCAGGAACATTATTTGTAATGGCTAAATATTACTGCATGTACACCATCACTGATGTCACCATTGCCCTACTGGTGCACATCTGGATGGCTATCAAACTTATGCTGTTATCAAGAACGCTGCAGTGAGAAACCTTATACGTAACTGTTGTGCAGCCCTCACTTTCTCAAGATAAACTCCTAGGTAGAGGCACTGACTGATAAATATACTGAAGATAAATACATACATATCAGAAGATAGGCTTCTACCTCCAGGTGCCAGGCTTATGATGAAATCTAGAAATAAGTCATCTTGAAATTCACAAAGCCATGTCCTGAATGAATTAATCATGAAGCCAAATACTGGCCACAGAACTTGCACGGCTATTCTGAGAGGGCAGGGAGAGGACATGAAAGAGAGAGAGGTAATCAAGTGGCACTAAGACTAGCACAAGAGCACCTAAGCATGTGCAGCTCCAGGGCAGGGGGACCATGAGAAGCTACAGCAACTGTTTTGCCTAGGATGTGTCTCCTTTCTGGACCACTAGACTCCTACGATGGTTGCAGTCAGCACTGTGAGGATTAAGTTACTTCACATCAAGTGGCCAGTACAGTGCCAGTGCATGAACCCTGTGCTTTCTTTCTACACAACTTTGGGAGGAGGTACTCTTCTTCAGCCCATAGTCCAGCCATCCACAATTCAACAATTCAACCCTGCAAAGGCTCACTTTAAACTTCTCATATTCATATCTGGATTACCTTATCAATATATAAAACTTGATTCTTTGGCTCTGTAATAGCAACTGTTTAAAAGACACAGTGTGAGGGGAAAAAATACAACATATAGCACATGAATGCAACAAACTTCAAAAGGTAACTAACTATCTGGGCATGGAGGCACACACCTTTAATCCCAGAACTTGGGATCCAGAGGCAGGCAAGATCTCTCTGAGATCAAGACCAGCATGGTCTACATAGCAAGTTCCAGGCCAGTTGGGGCTACAGGGAGACCCTGTCTCAAGAAAATGAAGAAAGAAAACCATTATAAAAAAATAAAAGTACATTCCAAAATGAGATACACACTGTAATACTCTGTAGATGATGCCTAAGACATCTCTTAAAAACACTAAAAACAGGCTGGGTGTGGTGGCGCATGCCTTTAATTCAGCACTCGGGAGGCAGAGGCAGTTGGATCTTTTTGAGTTCGAGGCCAGCCTGGTCTATATAGTGAGTTCCAGGACAGCTGGGGCTACAGGGAGACCCTGTCTCAAAAAGACAAAAAACAAAAAAAAAAAAAAAAAAAAACCCCACTAAAAGTATTTGTTAATGTTAAACTTTTAACAATACTGAAAGGTTGAAGAATGGCAATTTCTACTTTTAATTTACTGCTAAACTATCTCTGTTACCTATATGTATTACTTCTGTATTAAAGGAAAGAAGTTCTCGATTTCAGTAAGCCCTAGTATTACTAAGTCTACTTATTTCTAAACGGGTACACCTCCTTTGGTTCTATTTCCAGGTCTAGTAATCAAAGGTTTTTGAGGCCCTGGAGTCAGAGGCGCCCCCCCACCCGACACACACACACTGCAGCCTCACCCTTCCCCATCTCCAACACATTCTTGCCTCTGCCCATTTCTTCACCCACTTACACCCTCACACCTTCGAAGCAGCTTTAGAGTACTTTAATGTGACATGACAGGAAACTCATTCTTCAACACTCATGCTTCTCCCCAGCAGTTCAAAACTACTGCTTCAAGAGAGAACTAGAAGTGGAGGTATTAGGTAAGCTTGTCCTCCACAGGGCAAGCCAGACTGGAAAGCAAATGGGTAGATGCCTTCTTCCCTGGCTTCTCACCTGTTCCTTCAAACTAATTAAATGACAAGACTCTCCATAGGAAGGGCAGGGCAGAGGGAGACAATCACCCCTCCCACCCAATCAGTCAGCCTCAGCTACATGAGGGGAGGGACTAAGGACAGACACAGGAGAAGCCAGAGGGGAGGAGGGCGCTTCCCCATCTTGGGCCCGTGGCCACAGATCTAGAAGACTCAGCTGCTGTGTATATGTAGGAAAAAAAGCCCAAAGGCTTTTGTAAGTACCTCTCATCATCATATGCTCTGTTAGTAAGCCCAAATAAATATCTTTATTCCCTAAACTGTAGTTTAGAAGAAAACTGTGTCAGCTGGTCACAAGGAAGGTGGAAGGAGGAAGCCATGCGTGCACCTCCCAGCTGTAAATTCAACTTACAGGAGGTTAGAGAGGCAATAGCACAGATATTCTAGATACACCACTTTAGACATAACTCCACTGATGAAAATACTTTCCAAAACAAATCAAGCACCACTAATAAATGAGCTGAGAAATTATGTTCCAAATGTCATAGGTTTATTTTATTTTACTCTGATGCAAAACCAAAGATTCCACTACAGCACAGAGACCAATGTAACAAAAGGTCATGAAAAAGTGGAGTGAGACATGCAGGACATGATGTACAAACTGGGGCGTCAGGTGATTTCCTTTAACATGACACTACATTGCTGCTGAGGAACATATTTAAATTAACACCAGAATTCAACTGAAATGTGGCACAAACACGACAATTTCCTGGCATGCGTTCGAGGACCTCCCTTAAGATGAACTTCAGTGTGGGGAGATTACAAGTCTTTGGAAGAATAAAAAGTTCACACTTTTGAAATTTCACAGAATTTTAAGGCTAAAACATAGTGGGTTCATTTTTCTTCACTTCCAGGAACAAATGATGCTCTACTCAAAACCACATTAAGCTTCCAGTTCAAAACCCAAGCCAACCTTGTGACCTCCTGCACTGAAGTTCTTTCCATCTATCAAAGCTGACAGGGTCAATTTGACTCCTAGGAAAAAGAAAACACCGTTAATTACTTGTAGCCAGAGCTTTACTTGGACCTAAACTTTCCAGAAATAATGGACACCCTTTGAGTTTCACTCAACCTTCACTGTTCTTAACCCTGAACTCCAGATAGTGTTCCCTGATCTTGTTCTACTCAGCACAGATTAGCAGAGTACAGACTGCCATTTTAGGACGGCTTAGGCCTAGCATTTGGCTCAATCTTCATTGTTCTTTTTTTCTAAATATTTTATTTATTTTTATTTTATGTGTATGTGTACTGCCTGCATGTGTGTAAGTGCACCTGTGTCATGCAGTGCCTGTGGAGGTCAGGAGAGGGCACTGGATCCCCTATAGCTGAAGTTACAGATGGTTGTTAGCCACCACATGGGGGATGGGAACCAAACCCAGGTCCTCTGCAAGAGCAACCACTGCCTTTAACTGTTGAACCATCTCTCCAGTCCCACCAACCTCCAACCTTCACTGTTCTTAACCCTCAACTCCAAATAGTTTTCCCTGATCTTGTTCTACTTAGCACAAATTAGCAGAGTATAAACTACCCTGTGCCAGTTTAGTATGGCTTAGGCCTAGCTACACTCCATGCCACTACTCTGTTTTACTTTCTGTTTATATAACTAGCTGTTACATACCGACCTGAATCAATCCAGTGATTGTTTTAAGTGGCTCATTATCTTTCTGTAACTTTCTACTCTGACCCTCCATTATTAATTCTGTTACATACCTGGTCGGAGAGTCTGAGTATATCCCAGTCCAATTAAACTGGCATTATTTACTTTGGCCTAAGATTAAGAGATGAAAATAGAAGCAGTTAGAAAACAACTCCCCAATATGTTAGACCAATGCAACCACTGCTTCATGCATAAGGTTTCTAAAGCTAAAAGCACAATGGAACTAATCTACAACTATTAAAACAGGAAAAAAATTAAAAGGTCTTTTAAGAAGTCAATGGGACTGCTGGGTATGGTGGTGCATGTCTTTAATCCCAGCATGAGCATGCAGGAGGCAGAGGCAAGTGGATGTTTGTGAGAATGAGGCCAGCCTGGTCTACATAGTCAGTTTCAGACCAGGTGGTTACAGGAAGACTCTGTCTCAGAAAAAAAAAAGGAGGGAGGGAGGGAGGGAGGGAGGGAGGAAGGGAAGGAGGGAGGGAAAGAAAGAAATCAAAAGGACTGGTAGGAATTTTAAGTACTATGAGAATGTATGCTTATAGTTCTTCAACAAATTTTCAAGCACACTGTGTTACCAAGTGGCCCTATGTACTGAATTCTTTAGATGCCAATTTACAATCTCTGACAGTGGATACAGCATGAACTCAGGTATCATAAAAACAGATCTGGATTCATACTGTGACTGATTTAGTTTCTAGGTTGTATGTAAAACAAAGATGAGGATAACTCATTCACTACATAGAACAGCTGTGAGAATTACATGAGATAATACATGTACAGCCTTCGCATAGTACTTGATACTTAATAGCCCAATTTCTGCAGTATTAATAAAAATTACTAATAGTGCTAAGAATAGTAATATAATCCCATGAATTTATAGATAAGAATATACTGAGGCCAAAGAAAATGACTTCAAAGGTCAAACAACAACCAAATTAGAGGAAAACCTAGGACACATTTCCTATCTTCAGGTATAATATAACCTTTTCACCATACAATGAATGAGGTCCTTAAGGCTGATAAAAAACATGCACAGTGAAACCACAGTATAACAGCCATTTACAACCACAAGCTAACTGACAGCACATTCTTACGGACAGAGATGTTCCACAGCCCAGAGTGTGTCTGGCAGCAATGCCAAAGCGAGTGTTGTTGCTGCCTGCTGTCCACGCGAGGGTTACCGATGTCTCAGTCCTCTCACTGACTTTCTGGTAGACAGAACCTCCAAATTCAGTGCCGTCGTTCCTGTTTCCATAGTGTAAGAAAATTTCATCAGTACTAGTTTCTATCATTCACTGTTGAGACATAAAAACAAATTCTACAACCAAGTAAACACAGATTCCATTGTGCAACCAGAGTCTAGCAAATTTCTGGTATAAATGACTATTAAACAAGAAACAAAATCAACCTATGAAATATATAAATGCCTAATTAAAACACGGTTGCACCTGATTAATTTATTTGACTCTTCCATATAAATTTCTATGCCCAAAGGTAGACACCTCAGGTAAATACAATCTATAGGTATATTTCATAGAATTTAAAAACTATAACCTATATAGGCCTCTCTTCCACAGGATTTAGGAACTTCAAAGCAGAGGCCCATAAAGACTGAGAGGAGAGAGAGGTAAAAACAGGAAAAAAAACAATGCTAGCTTTTGTTTAAAACACACCCCTACAGTGAGAAAGTACTTTCCACCCAATACCCAGGAGATTCTACTCCAGCTATGAACTTATGAACTCATGGTTATTATGGGGGGGGGCACTATTTTTATGTGTATGAATGTTTTGCCTGCATGTATGTAAGTGCACCATGTGTAATGCCCACAAAGGCCAGAAGAGGGCACTGGATCCCCTGGAACTAGAGTTACAAACAGTTGTGAGCCACTATGAAGGTGCTGGGAACCAAACCCAAGTACTCTGCAAGAGCAGCTAGTGCTTCTAACTGCTAAGCCAGCTCTCCAGCCCCATTCCATGGTTTCTTGGTAACAGAGTAGCAATACCACTGTCTATACCACTGCTTTACTTTGTCTTAATCATCCTAGGTGAGTTAAGAGTATCTAGTAGAGAGTAGTCTGCAATACTTCAAAAACACACAGCTTGCTCCTACCTGTAATCCCAACACTAGAGAGGTACAGCAGGAAATTGAGGAGTTCAAGGTCAGCCTAAGCTATGCAGTGAGTTCAAAGCAAGTCTAAGTTACAAGAGATCCTATCTCAAAAACAACAAAATAAGGCTGGAGAGATGGCTCAGCAGTTAAGTGCTCTTGCAGAGGACTTTGGTTTAGGGTCCCAGCACCCACATGGTGGCTAACATCCATCCATAACTCCAGTTCCAGGGGATCCAACACCCCCTTCTGATCTCTGCAGGCATTGTATGCCACAGGTACACTTACATACACATAAGCAACACACACACATAAAAAAAGAAAAAGAGAACCAAGAGATTTAAAAACAAAAAAATAAATAAAATTTAACTAAAAGTTCATCAAAACAGGATTGTTTTGAGACCCCTATTATTTCTGAATGCAATAGGGGTAACTAGATTCTGACCAAAGGTATATGAAAATCTCCACTCAGAATTACCAGAGAAATTCCAGTATGCTCAAATTATTTGGTGATTGTTCTTAGTGGTACAAAAACAGCTTCCACTTAATGTAAGAGAAGATGAGCAGGGTGACAGAAATCAAAACATCTCCACGACATCCAAAAGACAGCAAAGGGCTGTCTTTACACAGTGGTTCTTTTGCAGATTCTAAAGCATCCTAATGTTGGGGATAAAGGCTGATACTAGTTAACTATCAGCAGCACAGCAAAATGTACTGACTCTGAAAATAGGACAGCAAGGTTAATGTTCACCAAGCTATACTATCATCCCTTTTTAAAATTAATTTTAGTTTTTAATAATTTTTAAAAATAATTTTATGTGTACTAGTGTTTGTCTGCATGCATGTACGTCCACCATGTGCTTGTCTGGTGTCTGTGGAAGCCAGAAGAGTAGGTATCAGAACCTCAGGACTGGAGATACAGGAAGTTGTAAGCTTCCACATGGGTGCTAGGAACCAAACCCAGGTCATTAGCAAGACTAGTGTTCTTAACTGTGAAGTCCTCTTTCCAGACCTATTTTTAACATTAACACATTAACTATCACCAACTTTTGGGAGAATTATATTAGCAATAAGACAAAATGAATTATAACCACTCACACATGAGTATGCAGTTGGAAGTCTGCAGCCTTATAGCCAAGAGCAAAATTATTCTGAGATAGTTTGGATTTGGCTGTGTCAAAACTCATCTGATAGCCAGCAAGCCAACCTTCAAAGGCCAACACAGCCCAGCCATAGATGGTTGGTCCAGAAAAATCTATATCAACATTACTGCCAAGACTGAAACAATCCCGATTATAGGAGGCCTTTAATTTCCCGCTCTTCTTTCTGTAAAAAAAAAAAAAAAAAAAAAAAAAAAAAGCAAAAAAACAAAGAAAAAGAATCAACACAATGAAAACAACTTGAGACTCTACTAGTTCCAGGGATATATATACAGTAAAACTCTCTCCAAAGGCAAATATTGTTCTGGTAGATGGCATACGTATGATAAAAATGTTTCAAATTACTTAGCTTTACAAATATAACTTTGTTAGGTTTAGAAAGGTACAATAGAGTATTTTATGACTGATTTTTTTTAAATGTCTATGACTGTTATGCCTGCATGTATGTAAGTGCATCACATGTATGCAATGCCTCTCCAGGCAAGAAGAGGGCATCAGATTCTCTATAACTGAAGTTACGGTCAGTTGTCAGCCACTCTGTGGGTGCTGGGAACCTCCTGGGTCCTCTGCAAGAGCAGTCAGTGCTCTTAACTGCTGAGCCATTTCTCTAGCCCTTTAATTTCATAGAGGCATAAATGAAAAGGGAAAAACTTGGTCAACGGATACAGAGTTAGTTAGATAGAAATAAATTATTTGATGTTCTGCTGCACAGCAGGGTCACTACACACAAAGTACTACGTATTCCAAAAAGGACAGAAGCGAGCTTCTGAATTTTCTTTCACCACAAAGAAATGAACAATGTTTAAGGAAGGAGATATGTTTACCCTGATCTGAACATTATACAATGTATATACATATTCAAACGCTACATATTACCCCATAATATACACAGTTTTGTCAAATAAAAAACATAAAATTTATTAGTAGTAAAAAAAACTTCAGTGCCAAATTAATAATCTGGGGTGTGTGTGTGTATACACATGAAATTAAATTTCTTTAAATATTTCCAAATGCCACAAAAGTATTAAGTTAATGAAAGAAATACTTTTTTTTTCTTTAAAGACAGGGTCTCACTATGTAGAGTTCTGACTGGCTCAGAACTCGATATATAGACCAGGCTGAGCTCAAATTCACAGAGATCCACCTGCCTCCACCTCCCAAGTGCAGGGACTAAAGAAATGTACTGCTACACTCAGCCAAAATGGGTTTTGGAATAGCAATGCTGAATACACAGAATTAATTTGTAACAGTCCTTACAAGTCTTTTATGAGAATATATATTCTAAAAGATAATTAAATCACGTAACAGGAAAGACACACCCACTGCTATGTGTGAGAATAAGTGGCTCTTTGCATTCACCTAGTGTCTTTGACTTCAGATAGCAGAAAGCCACACTAAGCAGATAGGAAATGATACAATGAGGAAGTAAACAAAGTGGCTGGGGGATTTCAGAGGCTCAGAAATTAAGCAGCAAACTATTCATTCTGGTGCTTTAGAATCAGTAGATTACACTCTTATCACACCCATCAGTCTTTAGAATAGATATGGCAATCTATAGTCTCAGACACTTCTAGTTCCTAAACTAGATGTGCCTCTCTGGAATAGACATAAATTTTTGCTCATTTGATTCACTTTTGCTTAACAGAAAGGTTATGCTGCCTTGAGGATCTCTCTCTTCCATTAAAGACACAAGTACTCTAGCATTGCTAACAGCAACACCTTAGTTTCCTCTTACCTAACGTCCCACCTCAGTTTCCTCTTACCTAACTTCCCACCTCAGTTTCCTCTTACCCACAATTCCCATTGCAAGTTTCTTCAAAATGAAATTAGAAAAAACCAAATTAGAAAAAAAAGTTTGAATAATTACCCTGTGTTTGGTACAAATATGGTATCAAGAGTCAGTTTCAACCCTTCAGCCAACTGAAAAGCAAAAATTTGTCAGTTAACAATTAGTAATCTTTAATTCTTTAACTCAAAAAGGGAAGTGCTAAAGATTCCTCTGACTTCTTTAACAACGACGTCTAACAAAGTCATTAATTATATAATTAATTATATAATAAATTACCTCCCCCATCTTTCTCTAGCTCCTTCACCCCTTTCCCTTAGCCTATCAAAACTTGAGTTAAGCTAGGGTGTGGTGGCAGATGCCTAGAGTTTCAGCTACTCAAGGAGCGGAGACAAGAAATCTTAAGCCTACGAATTTGTGGCCAGCCTGAGCAACATAGTAAGAACTCCATCTCAAAGCACTACAAAAGGTTAAAAGTTAGAGGCCAAATCCCAATACATTAAATCATTAAATAACATAAATTACTATAGAAAATAACTCCAATATAATGAAATAATCTTGCTATTCTCTTAAAATTAGTATAATTAGATAACATGACACTTAAAGTCAACTTATTTAGCTGTACCTTTTTATATATGTCAATGTGCAAAGATACATACCTTAAAAAAAAATCAGCCAGGCATGGTGGAGCACCTTGTAATCTCAGCACTGGGGAGGTAGTGGCAGGAGGATCAGAAATTCAAGGACAGTCTCAGCTACAAAGGAAGTTTGAAGGTAGCCTGGGCTACATGAGATCCATTCTCAAAACCAACAAACAAAAATAGTGCTCTGTCTACAGTGTGCACCTAACAAATAGGTGCTGATAGATTTTCTCCTTGAAAGTATTAAAGAATTTTAGGAACATTTTTCTGTGTAGCCCATTTACAAAGCTTACTATATGAAATTTCTAAAGAGAGTCAATTCTACTCAGAATAAGTTTCAACTGTATAACAGAATAAACAGCACTGGTCAGAACAAAGATGTAGTATGACAGAGTACTCACAAAGACTTATTTTCTTGAAGCAGTAAAAAAATACCAAAAGAAAGTGGGGGGGGGGCATCACAGAGGAAACATACAGCATTCAGCTAGTAGACAGGCTGTAAAATCCAGCCCAGACTGAATTTGGGATTTACTCATTATTTGATGTGAAGAGATATTAAACCTACAAATAACTTATAGAGTTACCTTATTCTCCCAAGAGATTTCTGTCCCAAGAGTATTGTCTGTATTCCATTTTTGGGTGAAGGTAAGTCCATAGTTACAGACCTTGTATTTGGTCTCTAGGTTGCCTGATGCTTTCCCTGTATCAGTATAAGCATGACCTGAAGTAGAAAATTCCTGGTAAACAAGAATCAATAATTACTTTAAAATCATCTCACCAACAATAACCTACTCATTTCAGAAAACATGTTCAATGCATCAGAAACCAACACAACTGACTTATTAGACAGCCCTGCTCTTCAGCAATGATCTCCTGTTTTCTTTCTGTCTCTAAATATTTTAACCGGTTTTAGAACTTTCCATTATCTCTCCCTTCTCATTGGTACTTATTATTTCATATGCTCTCTTTTTTAAAGGGCATATTTAATTCTTCCCTTCAAAAGAAAAATGTGTCTAGTGGAAGTAAATGTCTTTATTAAAAAGACAGAAATACTGAATTTGAAGCATTTCATTTTTATGGCCTAGGACAACTATCAGTTCTCTGTAATACCTTTCAAACAATTAGTAAATTTAGAGGTTCTTTCAACCCTTCCCCAAACACTACCTACTGTACTATCTTTTAACAGAATCAACACTTTAGTACTCTGTGACTTTATGTTTATGTTTGTGTGAATGTGTATATGTGGTGCTAAGAATGGAACCTAAGGCCCTGCCCACACCAGATAAGCATTCCATTACTAAGCTATATCTTCAGCCTATTCCTTTTAATAAAAGTAAATTTTTAAAAATTTTATGTGTGAGTACCAGCATATATGTATGTGTACCATGTCTGTGCCTGTGTCCATGGAAGCCAGAAGAGGGGTGCAGATCCCCTGAAGCTGGAGTTACAGGAGGTTGTATGCTAAAATGTAGGTGTTGGAAACCAAACCAAGGTCCTCTGGAGGGAAGAGCAAGTGGAGGGGCTAGAGGGACGCTCAGTGGTTACGCGTGATTGCTACTCTTTGGGTTCCCAGAACCCACATGGTGGCTTACAATCATTTGGTAACTCCACTGCAGAGGGTTCTGACACCTTCTTTGGGTCTCTGAGGGCACTGCACAAAGGTGATGCACATATACACACACAGGCAAAATACTCAAAACACAAAATAAAAATTTTTTAAAGTATAAACTTAGTGGGGGTGGAGAGAGGCCAGCAAGTGGCCAGGCATGGTTGTGCACACCTTTAATCCTGGTACTCAGGAGGCAGAGGTAGGCAGATCTCTATGAATTCAAGGTCAGCCTGGTTCCAGACCAACGAGGAAAATATGGTGAGATCCTATCTCCAAATAAAACAAAACAAAAACAAAGAACAGCAAGAGCTCTTAACCACTAAACCATCTCTCCAGACTGGTCTATTGCTTTTAAAAAATTTATTTTCATGGGCTTGTGCCTAGAGTGCTCAAGGCCCTGGGTTCTATCCCAGCACTGCAAAAGAAAAAATGCTACTGTGGAAAAAAAACCATATAATTGACCATTTTCGAGTATATACTACTGCAACATTAGGTATATTTACAGTGTTATAAAAACATTAGTGCTTCACTCGCAAAACTATCTGTAGACTATCCTCAGGCCTCTTGGGGTAAGTCTACAGCGCAGCTCTCCGCGCCGGGACTCCCTAAGCCTCATTCACCCTTCCACCCCACCCAACACCCCCCTGCCCCCCCGCCCGCCATTCTATACTCTAGCTTGGACCCTGTGCCATTCCTAGTCTTGGGGCCCCAGACACCTGGGGAACCAATACTGTTTCCTGATCCTTCTCACCCAGAGCAACTCAGTCCCTTTTCTTGGGCTCCAGGAGCAGCGCTTCTGGTCCTGACCCCGCCCT